TTTTTGTTGATTTGCTTTGTTTTGTTTTTTTGAATGTCCAGAGGACCAGATTTAAATTTTTTTGAATGTCTTGGTGTGTTCCACCGACATCTGTGATGTTGTCATTCGCGCCCTCAGATGTAATAGTGATTACATCACTGCATAGTGCTCCAGGTTGGTTTCCCGTGTCAGTGTGTTTCAAAGTTTCTAACAACCTGCGTAGTTTCTCTGTCTCTTCCGAGCTCAGAGGTGTAGGGCCTTGTTTCTGGAACCTTTGTGATTTTTTCACCTCGGGTCGTTCTGTCCGAGGTGGAGGAGGGATAGGTACGTCATTTGGGGGTTCCTTTTCGGACTTCCCCTGATAATATGGGTCACCTTGGTTCCCATATCTTTTCGTCTTATGCACACCCCACTTACGATAATCACGTTCATCCTCTGAAAGAGGAGCTTTTTTGTCCCAGCGTGCACCTTCATGACGCGGTTTGTTAGTTTGAAAAGACTGCTTTTTCTCGCCTTTCTTAGGAGGAGGAGGCGATGCACGCCGTCCTTCCAGTTCTAGCGAGTGGGGTTTAACCTTCAATCAAGGGAACCCCTCTGTGTGCTAAGTTGTAATGAGAGATAATATGCGTCTGATATTATCCATTATTTAAACGGATTCTTTCATTTTTCTGGACTGAGTTCTATCGTGCCTTGAATGATTAAATGTGGACGGAAACGTGTTTTAATTTCTGACTCACCAACAACAGTGAGTCGTTTATTTTAAACGATTTAAAACACATCACACATTTACAATAATTGGCAGATTGATTACAATTAACACAGCTTAATTAATGAGCTTTACAATGAGAAATCATACGGCCATGATATCTCACTTGCAACTAAATACAACAGACATTTCTGAAAATATCTGGATTAATTACTGGCAGATAGAAGAGTTTTAAAGATGGGAAAATGAAGTTTAAATGGAGAGAGATGGGTGAGGGAATGTGTCTGTTATAACCAGAAACAACACGCTCCTTTGGACGCAGCTTAACCCACGGTACACTCGCAAGTGAAGATCGACTCTTTTACCTTTGCAGACGATAGTTTCGGCTCCGGTGTAGAGTTTTCTTTCAACTCTTTTCAGCGTCTCCGTAAGAACAGCTGTGACCTCAGGAGTCGTGAGAGTACTTCGTTCAACAGCACGCTCACCTCCCAGGTGGACTCACATGAGCTGTGAGCCCGTCAGAGTTCCACTCAGATGTGGAAGATTCCATAATCCCCACGAGACTCGAAAGAACTCCCAACTAACTCCAGCACTTCAGAACTTTCGTTCGGTTCTGCTCTCAGAACTTTGGTTCATGTCTGGAACGTTGTTCTGCTTGGAACTCTTGTTCTGCCTGGAACTAGGAAGTGTTGACCCTTTTAAAGAGGTCACTTCCGGTTCCTCTGAGAACTTCCTGATTGGTTGAACGAACCAACAGGAGTGTGGTTTTAGTGACGTAAGAGGTTATTACAAGTCAAGGAGACAGAGTAGATTGTTTTAAGAACAGACAGAAAGATGTTTTGAAAAAACAGAGACATTTAGGAGCCAGTCTCCTTCTATCTATCTGAGAGAGTTAAACATGACATTTCGTTCCAATAAACATGTTTTTGACCGTTCCTTGACTTTTGACCGACTCACTCCTTCTCATTTCAGACAGAAGATCAAAAATGCATCATTACTTTGTGACAGGCATTTTAACTTGATTTCTACTTTGAATGAGGATTAAAAATCATTTATACTGTTTCACAGTTGATTTAAAATGAGTAGTTCACTTCAACATTTAAAAATGATTTGAACTAAACACACTTTGATTATCAAGATATTGTAAAATAGTAATGATAATGAAAAGAGAGTGTTCTTTCAATTGACCAGTGCAGGACACACTTAGAAAGTCTCTAGATGCTTAATTTGTATTTCTGGACTCAAATCAATGAAATAACAGTTCCTATCCCAGGATCAGGTTTTGACCTGAGGCTTAGTTCACTACAATTTACATATAGGCAGTGAAAACATTGAATTTTTAAGGGAAAGTTATAGCATAGTCCAGAGCCCCCCCCTCAGCCATTGTCCAGATAAGAGGTGACGTTCATCTTCAGCTCAGTTGAGGTTCTGTTACATGTCCACGGCCTTGGGGAAGGGAGGGGTGAGGAAACAGTCAAAGCATCTTTGTTGTTTTCCAAACATTCCAGGAGGAGTTGAGATAAGTCCGGCATCAAGGCCACAGTTTGGGTCAGGCAGAACTCGTGAATTGTTGTTTCTGCCTTTAAAGTCTCGCTGGTACATATTCTCTGATGGAAACTCCAAAACAGCCGAATTGATCCTTTACTCCAAAGTCGAGCTCACAGCTTTCTCCAAGATTATTCCCACCATTTATGAGTGCTGCCAGGGAGATCACAGTCCTGATACAGCTGCTCCAAATCCCTGCCACAACTCCACATTCAGTCCGAGCACTGTCAAGCTTCAACACCTCCACACGAATTTGTAGACAACCAGATTCCACCAACCCAAACAGTAGATTCTAGTCGTCATCATGAATCCAATTTTTCCTCTAGAGTTCAGAGTGTCCTCCTTACCCTGACTCCTGTCGGGAGAAGTTGATCGATTTTGTTGAGAGACCAGCTGATCCTTCCAATTAAGAGGTATGCAGGAAAAAAAAGAGGCTTTTTAAGGGTTCACAGGACAAAAGAGCGCAGCAGGGAAGCGGGTGGGGGGCAGAGAGGGAAAACGCGTCTGGTTTCACCATAGAGTAGCAAGAAAAAAAATGATTTAAATGTAATTTCCAGAGTCTCAGAAGGAGAGGAAAACACAGGGTTCCTCTCTCGTCACTCCCTGGTCCCAACGAACCGGAAAGATGAGATTTATTCTAGATTGTCAATTTTGAACTGTGAGAAACAACATTCCATTAATGCGCCCGAGCCACTCTGCAGCCGCCACACAGAGCAGGGAGGAGAATTCTGCCTTATCTGGACATCTGCTGCTGCTGAGCAGTTTGTACAGACAGATGGCAGCAGTACAACTCACGTGAAACCGGTTGAGTGATATCAGCTGTTTCCGTCAGCAGACCTACGTCACACATGTCAGACTTCACAGAGGCACACACATTTAACGAGCTGTGGGGGCACTGTGGTTTTCCACACAGCAGCTCATTTAAATGTTTTTGGAGTGTTGCAAGGGGTTTTTGAATGTGATTCAACACTTTGCCACTGAGCTGCGGAATCATCAGGGTTTTTTGATTCACACAGACAGCAAGTGACTGTTGCATACATAACTGGCAGGAGATGTATGCGCTCAACCCATGTGCCACATTGTGAGGCAGATGCTGTGTGGGGCACACCCAATCTGCTCTCCATTGGAATAGGGTACATCTCCTGTGTTCTGAACAGGGGACGGATGTGATGTCCAAAGACGGTCCTTTGCGGCATGGGGACCTGGGACCTTCCACCCAGAGCTATGGCTCAGACGCGGCAGAAATCCTGCGAGGGGTTGTGGACCTGTTGTAACACGAAAGAACGCTTGATGTCAACTATAATTATCATGGAGTCACAGGACGATCCACCACTAGGGGTGGACGTGTCTGCTCACAGCCTGTGGTCGTAATGCTTCTTCACCTCCCTCTCTCCCTCTGATATCACGGTTTTCTGAACAGAGCTCAGGAGGAGGGACTGACAGCTCCTCTGTCCCAAGTGAGTGAACGCATCATGGTTCCCAGGCCTACGACACTTATCGGGGCGCTCGTGGAACCTGCCGTGGAGGGAGGATGCTCTCCTCCAGGCGGGAAGAGCGATCAAGAGTTAATCAGAATAGGCCAGCACCTGTGGTCTGGCCGCTGAACGAATCTGCTTAGAGAGGATGGGTCTCCCACAGGATGTAGTGTGCACAATTCAGGTTTCACGTGCTGCATCTACCACAGCGCTGTACACATCAAAGCGGACAGCTTTTCAGCGCTGGTGTACAGAGAAGGGTGTAGAGGCTACCTCATGTCCACTAGGTGGCATGCTGTCCTTTCTACAACAGCTGATGGACAGAAATTTGGCGTCCAGCACGATTAAAACGTACGCTGCGGCCATCTCTTCCTGCCATGAAGAGTTCGGAGACAGAAGAGTTTTTAATCATCTGCTGATGAAGCGTTTTCTAAAAGGTGTACAGAGACACAGGCCTGTTTCACACCCACTTGTTCCACAGTGGGATTTAACGCTGGTCCTGCAGGCCCTGATCAAAGCTCCATTTGAGCCTCTGGATCAGGTTCCACTTAAATTCTTGTCTCTTTAAACAGCCCTGCTGCTGGTTTTAACATTCGCTAAGAGAGTGAGTGATTTATCTGCCCTCT